CAATAAAATTGATCTTTTTTATTTTGTTGTGAAGGTTAAAACATGGTAAATTCATCACTTGGAGAACAAATTAAAGTTGATATGATTGTGCTAATGTCAACTCAAAATAACATTGAATACAGCAACATGTGTTAGGAAAAAACTAACGCCTCTTCCTGGGGATGATTTATCAAAGTTGAGACAATTTGGGACTGAAAAAAAGAACAATTAAAAAGATACCAGTTCAGGAGCTAATCTATATTTCTGGATTTATGGTTTTGACCTGACATCCGTGTGATATATTGTTGACAACCAAACATTAAAAGCAGATAAAACAAAAGCAATATTAAAGACACCCGAGATCTTAAATTAAGTGTGAATGCATGAACATGTAAGAGCGGCTGTGGCAGTGTGGTTAGGGGAGTCGTTCCTCTAATGCAAGAGTTGGCGGTTCGATTCCCCTCTGTTCTGTCACATGTTGAAGTGTCCCTGGCCAAGACACTGAACCCCTGCTGCCGCTGATGTGTGTCCCATCAGTGTATGGGTGTGATTTAAAGCACTGATTTGTCTCTATAAATTGATTTGTACATGTTAGCTTTTAAAGTGTTGCGTGAATGGGGAAATGAGAGCACAGATTGTAGTATGAAGTGATTTGAGTATCCTGGTTGGAYAGAAAGGTGCTACATTAAGTAYAGTCCATTTACAATTTGTACTAAACAAACTTTGCCAAACACCATAATCTCTCTTGAGTGCTCACACTGTTTTTTTACCACATGCATTTATGCATGTGAAAACACTCCCGCCATTTCTCGGCAGGTGTTTGTKTCTGTGTTGCCCACCCATCTGTTGTTTGCCTTTTTAAGGCAAACACTGAGGCTAGTGTAGGAGGAGGAATAMGGAGGAGGCAGATGGACACACAATACACTTCAACTAGCCAGTACAAAAGTTCCTGAGTGTGGGGTAGAATTGTGGGAGACAGGAGGGGGTTCAGCCGAAGAAGAAACCTTCCTCCGCTGGCTGCTTTGAGCCCATGAGGGGTCTAGCCTCTATATTTATCACACTGTGGGGAAACAGAGCAGTGAAAATCTGAGAGGACTGAGATTACAGAGGTGATAGGTTAAGCTTGGCTCAATCAAAAAAAGCTTCTTAACCCGACAAAAAGAGGTTAAACAACAAGCCACCAGAAAAGAACTGTTTGGGTTCACTTGCTTTTTCACTGAGCACTTAGAAAAGCAGTAAATTTGTTTGCKTCAATAAGATATGACCTGATTAAAGACATCTGTTAAACCCTATAAGACTATCATAAACAGTTAAAACCAGGTGTTTACTTTCTGTACATCATGGCTCTATGCGGTGCCACTTCCACACAACAGTGGGGCAAAATATTCATTGCTCACAACTTAATCATAAAGTATAACAAATAACACCATAAATCACAAATACATATTAGACTACCCTAAAAACAAGTGGACTAAATGCATTAAAGTCTTTCAGCTTTAGAAATTATTCAACTCATTTGGTTTCTTTTTATTTGTTGGAATTTGCTAAATAGGATCCACTTCAAATAGGATGATCATTTTCAGGAAAAAAAAGTGGCGTATGCTTTATATGATAGAGGTTGAAACCACGTGAGTAGATGACATCACAACAACTTTGAGAATATTATGAGGAAAAAATATTACATGAAATAAATTGTATGAGAATAAAGTCACAACATGAAATTTCTATTTTACAAACAGCTTGCACCTGATATGGACAGCCTCCAATCCTTGTCTGTGTGTTTATAAAATAGCCCACGATTAGTTTTGGGTCACTGTTAATGCAACATGCTTCCATCCACATTATGTGAAATCTGAATCAACAAATGCAGTCATTAACTGCAATGCCATATGACTTCAGTTTATCATCTGAATACATATGCTACAGCGCATTGGGCCGCCCTGCTACTGTACTGCCAACGTCGGAGACAAATATTACAACTTTAYTCTGGTAATATGATCACTTTTTTCTCTCGCATATTCTCATATTTAAAATCAAAACTGCTTAGTCTGGCCCTGATAATCCATTACACACTCCTTCTGAAGAATGGGTTTTTTTTGTTTTGTTTTGTTTTGTTTTCAAGACTCAAAGTCTGATCCATATTAGGTGTTTTGTTTCTCAGTGGAAATCATTTTAGTGTCATATCTGAAATGGTGTCACATTTATAGYCAACAGAAATGAAAACTAAATCTTTCACATAATACTACTGCAATTTAGCTGCGATGTTATGATTATCACACTTTAAWAATGCAACAAAGTGTGCTTACGCACGATAACAGCAGAGACATTGGTTAAGAGTGTTGTACTGAACACACCACCTCCTTTTACACATACTGATCAACTCAGCTCTGTGACTACATTTCATGTCATCTTAAGAGACATGTCAGCTGTGAATCAACGCGAGTCACTGATTCTGTCTCAGCCACATCACGACACTGACACAGGAGGGCTGTGTGTCAGCTAGGCCTGTCACGATAACAAATTTTACTTGACAATAAACTGTCTCAGAAATTATTGCGATAAATGATAATATTGTTGGAGACCAGTTTAAACTAATATGATATAATCCCCCTGTTTCCGTAAGTTTGCATTAAAATTTACATAGTTTAAAAAGTACTGTCAGCAATCCCAAAGTAYGGCACTGTGCCCTGAGGGAGTCCTGAGGCATCGAGAGCTGTATGAAAGAGTCAGAAATCTTAAGACACTCCTCTGGCTAAATGCCTGTTCACAGGCTCTCGTGCTACAGAGGTTAGAGACCATGCACCTGGCAAATACCTGACGCCAGAGTTCACTCCTCTYTATGCTAAGAAGTAGAAAAGAGGGAGACATGAAGAAAACAAACAAGCATGAAAAT